GCAGTAATGGGATTAACTACAAACCATTCCAATTGTCAAGAGAAGTGTTAATTTTTGATATAATTTTATTTATGAGAAATCCATGGGGTGGATGATAATTATTAAACTCATTCTTAACTTAGTATTTCTAAATTAATTGTAAAATATAGTGTGCAGTACTAATACATTTATAAGTGCATTGATTTCTTATTATGTCAAAATGCATTTTGTTTGTTTACTTTCGTTAAATTAAAATTTTTAAAAAATAATCTTTTGTTTTCGACTTTTCAATATGCTCGCGTCCCTCTCGTATCGTTATCCCCACCCCCTAAGGGAGGGCGCCCCACAGTTTGAGAAACGCTGATGTTCTTAATGATTCAAACCACACTCTAAAAGTGTTTCAACTTATTTTTCCAAAATACTTATAATTTACTTGGTAAATACTCATTAGAGGGGGGAAATAGTGAATGTCCTTTTTATTCGAGCTCTATGAATGATAACCATCTACTTCAAAGGGACGGAGAAAAATTTTGTGTTAAAAAAAAGGACATCAAATAAAAGTCTGAAAACGTGGTCGGGAGTTCGTCTTTCCCTTCTAATAGACCTTAAGGAAAATCACAAATATAAACTTGCGACCAGTTTTCTCTAGTTTGGCCCTTGACAATGGCAAGGATCCGCTTGTCCTAAAACCGCGTGCCATCTCCATGTAATCGTGCTCTCCACAATTTCATACGAGAAGTCCATGTAACATTTTAAGGTATCCAACTACTTGTGACAACTGTTTTTTAAAAAAATGGGGATATGGACATTTTTTTTGTGGTTTTCAGATTTATTTAGTACACTTAAGAAAAAAATACAAAAATTAAGAAGAAAAAAATTATTATTATTAAAATGGGAAAAATTGGTAAAAACTTACAAAAAATTACATAAACGGGGCCCACTCTGTTCAAATAGTAAATGAACAAATTCTCAATTTTTAATTCTAATATTTTACTTTGGTATTCATTTTAGATATGACCTTAAGGATAAGAGATATTTTAGTTTTTTACAAAAACTAGAACACTTTATATAAGTTATTATATAAAATTGCTTGAAAAACAGTGATTATATTTGCATAAGGAACTGTAAATTCTTTAATAAAACAGTGATTGATAAATCTGACGGTTAAAACACTTCCACTGTTACACAGAACATACACAAAAAATTTCAGTCAATTATTCTCAAAACTGTTTGAGCAATCACTGCCCCCGTTTGAGTTTTCGAACGAAAACAAAACATTTCGAGAAAAACGAATTTTAAAATTTGACATCTTGTTTAAAGTTATGGCATCTGCTTGTACTAAAACACTTCTAGTTTTTGTTCTAGTGAATAGAAATTAAAAAACTTGGTATTTTTACAAAGCTAATAAGACGGTCTATAAAATAAAATCATAAGCAAAATTTGTCAATTTATGAAAAAAATTCACGATTTTAGGGTAGTCGGATATCTTAAAGCAAATTTAATTTTCCCCCTATACGCTCTGTGTATGTATACAAATTAATAAATTCTTCAAATTTTCAATCTTTTTTTGCTAACAATCAATTCCGCATAAAAATGGTTTAGTATCATTAAATTCGAAATTAAAACTAATAGAGTTTTTGAAATTTCGAATAAAATCAAGAAATGGCTAAACTTTTATTTCGCGGTATTTGTTAAAGCAAATATTTGTTCTTTTAAGCCCTTCGTAAACGAAAAAATTTATATTTTAACGCATATACAAGTATATAATTTTTTCAATGAATAATCAAGTAATGTTTACTTAAGATTTCAAAAATTATTAAATGAATCAATGTAGAATAAAAGCATACTGAGGCATAATTTTTGACTGCAGTTTATCGCGTGTGATTTACTAAATTTTGTTTTACTTGTAAAAATAAAATAATTTAAGAATAATGTCAAGATAAAAGGGTTTTTTTTAAAATAAATATAATCACTTTCCATTCAATTTTTTAAAAAAAATATCACATTGGAGTTAACCAATACATTCTCATTAATTGCAAAAACTTGTGAAACTAGAATAAAAAATACAATTTATGATTTTATTTCTTTTTACGTAAATGGTTATTCCTTGCTTCGAACTATCTTCAATTAGTGCTTTTATACACAAACTTTACTATAATTATTTATTGGTACTTTTTTAAAACTTAAAATATTTGAGGTATTTTTGGTTATTTTAAAGTATTGTGTCTGTATGAGTATGTTATTGACTTTTTGTTTTCCATGCACACACACATATATTCCATTGTTCTTTTGTTAAAAAATATTGCAGTATTTTTTTAAGAGAATTGGAAATTTTTTTTTTGGTATTTATAATTCAAAAACATTATGTTACATTTAATTAGAGCTCCAGATCAAATATACTTCAAAACCATTATAAAATGATATTTAAATTTTGACAATTTTCCTGTAGCGTGTAACTTGACTTGAGATATACATTTATTTGAAATATAATGAAAATTTTTATATTTTTGAATATTAAATACCTATTGGAACATTCGAAGTTAAAGTAAATCTTAGAATCATTGAGTTTTTCCATCCACTCAGACGATATTTTTACCCCCAAGTGACTCTTACCATTTTAACCACGAACTGAAAAAAATGCCTTTAGCTGTGCTTTCCTAGTGATTGCTGATTTATGCACATTTAAGAAGGGAGAGGGTAAACGCAAGAGGGAGAGGGTGCAAACGACTTTTCGAACTCTAAACTCCAGTTCAGTCCCATCCCCACTCCTTCACAAAGTTGGCAACTCGGATTTGGCATTGTTTTTCCTATACTTTTAGAGTACACTTTAGGTTTGTTTCGTCCTAGTCTCTTTCTTTTTGAAAGCGTCGTTTTTAAACGGGTCGTCAAAGAGGTACATAAAAATAAAAAGTCTGGACAGGGATGGTTAAAATCGACTGCTTGTATCTAGTATCTAATATTTTTTTACTTCATAACTTTGAAAATTCTAAATGTAAGCTCTAACTGCAATTTCGCTGTGACACTTTTGTATACTTTTAAATGCAATATAATCGATTTGAAATAAAGTCTTAAAACCAATTTGAGAACAGTAACGTTTATATCTTGTTGAATTATAAAGTTGTACAAAGCCATTTTTTTTTTGTGATGTACACTTGAGATTATAACAAAAGAACAAAATATGTTATTTAACAAAAAATACGAATAAAAATTAATATTCATTTTCATGTCGTTCTCAAAATGCAATAAAATTGAAGAGGGTGAGAATGATAATTAAATACTTATTTCTCTAGGAATAGGAGTGACATAATGAAACTTATAATAAAACTAAATAAAAAAAACTTATAATAAAACTAAATAAACTCTAATAATTATTAATAATTGTTATTTTCGGTATTAATCATTATTTTAAGGAATACCGGTGTGAAAAATTCACGGTGATTTTTTTTAAGCCGACACTACTCACTGTGACCTGGAGCTCGATCTAACAATCGATCAAAAAGACTAAAGTTGTCTTGGGAAGCAAAAAAAAAAATTCAGTTCCAAAAATTATTAATAGGGCCATTGTTGCTTACCAAAGCAAGAATCAGCATAAAAAACAAGTAGGAAAGCAAAATGAAAAGTTGTACTTTCATATGCGACAACTACGCCAGTAATTTGGGCTGTAAAACATGTAGACAGCTCCGAAAAATATTATCAGCTGAAGTAAACCAGAACAAGAGTGAATATGCGGCTCACCTAAGCAGGACCACGCATTATTGGAAAAGCGGTATTATCTTAATCATTTACAGCTCCTCATGACCTTAGAGCCTGATAGGAGCTACACAAAGGGTTTTATAGCTTAATGATTTGAAAGGAATGATTAAAAAAATTCATAGAAATAGTTATTGACAATTCGTCCAGAAAGGACACGTAAAAATGTGTCAGCAGAAGTGTTAACAAATCTTACTACTGTAATTATCGACGGATCACAGGAACCATTGTCTGTACACATATCACAGACAGTATGCAATATTCCTTGAGACATGTTGCGTACGCCCGTTAAAATGATGTGCAGAGAATGCATGGTTTAGTCTCTGAGAACGGAGGTGATACTGAAAGTGATCGAATTCCCCTCTGAGGAAGTAAACATAGTGAATAAAAAGCATTTCACTGTTAATTTGTATGCGTTATTATTATTTTCTTTTCTTTAACACTTTTTGCAATGTGCAGCCCCATTGGCGATTTTTAGAACAATATTTTTCCCCGGAAGCCTGCTTCTCATGTAATTACATGCCTTCATACCAATTTTGGTAAGATTTCCTTCGTTAGATTGAACTACATGTAGCTCTGAATAGTATCATCAAAAAATCACATAGTAAAGTAAAAAACATCCAAATATAATAATGTGATTAGGAGCATCTCAATTGTAATTAGCCTTTCATAGAGATTTTAGAGTTTCACAAAATGAAGGGGAGTATTCCACGTTAAGTGCTTACCTTGTAGCATTGAAAATGTAAATCATTAAAAAAAAGCATTATTGCCAAGTAGAATCAAACTAACTGTACCCTTAAGCCTTGTTGTTGTTGTCTTGTCCAAGTAATGTAGAAAAATCAAATGGCGCCAAAGGCGTGGAAAACGGCAGTTGGTATGTCGAAGACATTTGGCGAATAAGGCAGTTGATGGTCAGTGGGGTGTGGGTCTATGTTGAGAAGTTTAGTCAACATAGAAGGAGAATTAAAATATGATTAGGAGAAAGTTGAATATCAGGACAGTCAGATCAAGTATTCTAACTTCTTTGACCATCAGGGGATATTTTCCTATTTCCATTCCTTTGTTATTGTTGCTGTTGTGTTTTATCCTGGGATACATAAGAAAGATGAGAGATGGAAGAACAGAAACATGCAACACAGGCACAGAAGAATATAGACTTTTTTATTACAAAGGATGATCCCAGTATAGATCAGAAGGGTACGCTGCTTTCCATTCGAGACGGAAATCCATTTTAGGTAAAAGTCCGACTCCTTTTTCCGAAGATCCATCCATGCCTTATTCGGGATTTAAACCCGAGCCCACTCGATCACAAGTCGAGGGTCATAACCACTATATTCGCTAGGCAACTTTCGTTTCTTTAAAGTGTCTTATACGTAGTCTAGATATAGTAGCTGAAATTACGTTGTTGCGATTAAGTTCTGGAATGAAGAACTTCTTAATTGGTGAGTTTAAGTCTGGTATTGCATCAGCATCGGTAATGGTAAGGTTATTGGAAAGTTAGGGGAATTTCGGGCCTCCTTAGCATAGCCTGCTCATTGCCGAGGATGTCTACCTGAGCTACTCTGCTTATAAGGGTAATTATATCTTGGGTAGGCTGAGAGTTACCCTCAGGATCGCCTAGAGAGCAGATCTAGAGTCTGAGAAGGCCTGTGGAACTCTTAGTTGCCCTCTGGGGTAATTATCTAAAGCTTCTTTAATGGTCATAAACTCGCCCGTAAAGGCTGAGGAAATTTTGCCGGTAGGAATTCTGTAGGATTCAAGTTCATCATTTGGGTTATTAAAATAAATTTCAGCACCACCTATTACAAGATCAGAGTCTGAAGATCCTTCCGGGTAGACAATTACTTGGTTTTTGGTCGAATTCTAAAGTTCCTTGATGGTGTGGATGCCTTTCTGCTTCTTACCCTTAAGCCTTAAATGTAGTAATTATTTTTTATTTCAATATAATTCTTAGAATAATTCTAGTATTTTTAAACATATCTATATTTTTTTAACAGAAAATTCGAAATACACTTCCCGTAATGTTCGATTGATATATATATATCAAACTGACTTTTTCACATTATATACGAGGGCTGGGGCATAAGCCACGGCAACTATTTTTTTCTTGTATGTATGTGAATGGATCTCAAACGTATATGTGTCGTGTGGAAGTTCTGCAGGCATAATGTGTATACAAAAGAACAGACGGCTCTGTGAAGCTGGTAGTAGGGCAGCGAGGGATGTGAAATCAGTCAGTTGGTGAGTGTCGTGCGAGATGGAAGTAACCCGTGTTGAGCAGCGTTCTTACATCAAAATAGCCGTTCTCCGAGGGAAAAATGCGATGGAATATCGCAGGGAATTAGTGGAAGCCCTTGTAAATAATGCCTTAGCATACCGTACAGTAGCGCGGAGGGTGTACTATGTACTGTGTTGTCATTTTTTTGCCCCGTGAAGACCATATTGCCCTGTATACTACCGTAATAAATTAGTGTGTTACGATATTTCAGTGCTATTCATTGTCCACACATGTAGTTAACACCTTGTCCTTTCGTCTGTATATGTCACATTTTCCAACCGGACAGGTATCTTCAAGAAAAAAAACCAGTTTCCATGACTTTTGCCCCAACCCTCGTATATACAGCACTGATTATGGAACAAAAGTGAAAATTTTAAAATGAATTTAGAGCTGTAACCTTTTTTTTTCCCTCCCAAAAATTGAATTAAAACAGAGATGTCTAAGTAAAAAAGTAATACGAAATAATTATTTAAAAAAAAAATAAAAGAAAAAGACATCTTCTGTAAATAGTAAAATAATTTATATGTTTGAATATATATCAAATCAAGAATTATTGCAGTTTGAATAGCAAGCTTGGTAAGTTCATAAAATGTTATTTATATATTTCGATTTTATTTATGTATTTTTTACAAACTTAAATTTTGAAGAAACTTAGCCGAAGAAAGGAAAGATAAATGAAAAAAAGTTATGATTCTTATGTTACTCAATGGTCTTTTCAATATTTGAAGCAACTGCCGAATACACATGTAAGAGTCTAAACAGCCCATCTGCTTCTTTTGCGCCCTTTTTCACATGGGAATTGTATGCGCATGCGTGCAGTCAGCTCTAAGCACAGCAATTGAGATTCTCTCCAAAAAGGCGGGATAGAAAGGGAAAAAAAACCCCGAAAGATTTAGAGGATGGAGGGGGCGGGTGGGGAGAGATATAAAGAAAAGCCGAAATTCCGTGACTTACGACCGGATTACCAAAACATGAGCTCCCGTTTTGAAAACGGATAAAAACGATGGGTAAGGGGGACGATAAAGCGGAGAAAAATCGACTTTACTTTTGCCTTCTCATCCTATTGAGGTCGGCATTGAAAATTTGCCAGCGCAAGCCAAGATTTTATTCCAAAAAGCGAAATGCTTGAAATACTTTTGGATGCGGGGCTTTTTCCAAATTTTCAACACTACATTCTTCTTTATCCATTTTTTTCTTTGTATCAAAGTTGTTATGTTGGCTAATTTAACGAAAGTATGGTTGGTTGAATGATTATTAATGTTTCACTTTTTTTTTAACACGCTTTTATTAACTTCACTTGTATGTAGCGGAATCTTTGAACTCGATTTTTACCCACTTTAAATGATTAGATTAATTCGAAATTTTGCACGCTTGTCCAGGACCTATGATAAAACAAAAATTTAATAATTTTGCTCCATTGTCCTGATCAGGATCATCAAGATTAAGGATTTACCATTTCCGGATTTGGTGACTAATTCCAGATCCCATTTCAAGATTTGGCGATTAAAAGATTTAATTACAACCCTAAAGCAAAAACACTCATGGTTAATACAAATACAACAAACAAAAAAAGTGTTCTTTATGTAAAAAAGGGGAAGATGCGTCAGCAATTTCTTAGTTCGAAAAACTATACAAATGTTTTTTTTAGTTTTTTTAACTATAATTTATCAGCTACTCGAGGACCATTGGCAACAGGCCTCGTAATTTTGAACCCTGATCAAGTCACAAGGATGACATGTGAACTAGCCTGTTCAACTCTCCCGCACTACGACAACTTGAAGACTTTGAGCCTTGGAAGATTCGATGGGCACTATTCTTTCTACATGGCAGATCTTTAATAACACTAAGACTCAAGCCCATGACTCGAGAAAAATAACACTATCTATGAACTCACGATCTCGGCTACTATGGATTGTTGTCTTATTTTTAATGTTTCCAATAACATGTCATAGATAATTAAATAAATGTTATAAATTACGTTTTATTTTGAGAAATTAAAATTTTTAATGGCCAGTACATTTAATTTCTCCATTTAATCAAGGGAATTTAAATGTTCAAAATTGATTTTTTTACAATTAACTTTGAATTTAGACAGCATTTCCTTTATTTCACTCATAAAACAACGATTTTATCATTTCTCTAGCTGTTTGTACATAACTGCTGAATTTTTTCCCTCGAATACAGCATGAGGAATTTTATAACTTTCTAAATCAGGTCAACCACAACCAGAGAAAACTTTGAACTCCCCCTGACAATCAGCTCTTCATGAAAACGCTTTGTCTTCGCTGCATAAATAGCACGCGATACGGGAACTACCTCGACCTATTGTTGTCGAAACCATAAACTAATACTTGTTGTTTCTAATGCCGCCTGTCTAACTTAGTCAGATCGAGGCCCATAAAATTCATCGTGGCAAGGGGCTGGATGTACGCCTGTCGTTGGCCTTGGCTCCGAGCACCATATGGGTGAAAGTACGATTTAGCTCAGAGAAATTCCCGAAGGGACGATAGATGGCGGCACCACCGATTTTCCACCTCCACAATTTAGGCATGGAACTGAAGGGGAGAGAAATATTCTCTAACCCCCTGCACTCGTGATTCAGTCCACAAGATTTTCAGACCCACTGATTTAACGAGTACGTACTCCGTATGTACTCGGAGGGTATTTGAAGACACGGGCATCGAAACCAGGCCTTCTGGTCTGGAGTCCGATGCTCTAACCACTAGGCTACCCACGGCCACAACTAACACTTTAAATAATATAGTATTTTAATGGATCTCTTAAGTTTTCACTATTTTCTTTTAAACATACCGCCTAATCCCCTGTCCGACATTCGCGAAAAATCAACCATCATTTACTTTGATTGTCGTCATGTACGGTTTGGCTTCTTTCATAATATAAAAGGCACAAAACCTTTTTGTGAGCAACGTAAGAGAGATTTCTCTCAAATCTGAATCCGGAAACACACTTAAATCACGTCACTTAAGCTCATGCGTTGTCACATGAACACACGTTATATTTTCCAGCAAAGTTACATTTTTCATGAAACGAGAATTCATAAATATTCTTCAATGAATCCTCATCTATCCATGACCCATGATTTCCTACGATTTTACCTCATTTTGGGAAAGCACAGAATAATGTGACAATTTTTGTAAGTTGTCGCAATAAAAGCTTAAGCGTATCTCCTCTCCCTCTTCATGTAGCCGTGGTAGGTCAGCTCGATTATGGCTCGATTATGGATCGTGGCCAACGTGTCACGAGTTCGAGCACTGGGTCCAATGAAGACTGTTGTGCAGACTCTGTTGAGGCTCAAAGTCCTCCCATTAGTATGGTGTGGTAGTTTGGAGAAGTGCCAAATCTCTCTCTCTCTCTCAAGTGTCATCATCGTCACTTGACCGAGGCTCAGAATTATGATGTCCGTTGCTAATAGCCTTAATGTTGCTTTATAAATTAATAAACTCTATTCATTCCCTCTTCAAAGTATTAGTAAAAATCCTTTTTCATGTAGCAAATAAAAATAACTGTGATCTATTGTTTTTTAACCCAATTGAAGCTACTTGAGATGTATTGGCAAAGAACCCCATAATTTTGAACTGCAGTTAAATGGAAATAAAGAATATTGTGAACTCTGGCATACTGCACACCAAACACATTCTGGTTTATATTTAAAATGGTTATATTGGAAAGGGAAAGGGGCTTGGGAAGAAAAAAATTAATTAATTAAAAAAATCTAGAAAAGTTCATTTTTAAGCTTTTATTAAAAATTAGGTTTATAATGTACACGGACGTTTACTTAAATAATTTCGACTACATATTTCTACAGAAGTATTCCACTAGATTATCCAATTAAGAAAATTAATATCTGCTTTCCAAATGTTACCACTATTTGTAGGAATCTATTTCCGTTATCAGTGGAGCACAGGAATTTTTCAAGGGAAGGGGGAGGGATCCAGGGTCAAAAGTCCACCATTCTCGTATCATGCTCCAATACGCCACACAACTCGACAGTAATTAATATAATTAATGATTAATCCCAAATACTTAAACTTTACGTACTACATAG